TTGGCTGAAACAGACAGACAGTTTTGCTTGTGTTGATGGTGAGCCCGAATTTGGCCGCTGTCGAAGCCAGAGCACTAGTCATGTGCTGCAACTCATCCGCGCTGTGTGAAAACAACGCACAGTCGTCAGCAAACAGCAACATACGGATAGTTGTCTCACAGACTAGAGTTCTCGCACCGAAACGACGGATGTTCAGCAACCCACCATCAATACGGTGCTCCACACGAACACCGTAAGCACAAGCCGCATCAAAAGCACAAGACAACATTGCATGAAGATAGATATTAAACAGGGCAGGAGCTAACACACAGCCTTGCTTCACACCAGAGACAACTGTAAAGTCATCAGAGGTCTCTCCACTCAGCTGCACCCTCGCTCGCATACCACTGTGCAGACATTCAATTAAACTTACAAACTTACGCGGGCAACCAAACTTACCCAACACCAGCCACAGTGCCTCGCGGTTCACCGTATCAAATGCCTTGGTGAAATCAACAAAAAGCGAGTACAAAGGCTGGTGTCGTTCTCTGCACTTCTCTTGCAACTGACGAGCCGCAAACACCATATCTATAGTGCTGCGACCCGAACGGAATCCACATTGCTCTTCCGCCACGTGAGGTTCCACAATCTGACTCACGAGGCGATTGAGCAGGATTCGGGCAATCACCTTGCCCACACAACTCAGCAAGTTGATGCCACGATAATTCGTGCAACATTGCTTGCTACCTTTGCCCTTGTACAGTGGGAGCACAAGGGCATCCTTCAGCTCAGAAGGCACCTCCTCCTCAATCCACACGCGTTGCACCAAGTGGTGCAGCGCAGTCAACAACGCGGGTCCACCGTGTTTCAATACTTCAGGTGGGATCCCGTCACCTCCAGCACATTTGCCGTTTCGCAGCTGAGCAAGTGCTCTCTGCGTCTCATCCAGTCTCGGCGTATCTGCCAGATCCGCCTTCACATCGTGCTGCTTCAGGCCATTCAATGTAGGCCAGTCGATCTCTGAACGGTTGTTCAAGAGACAGTCAAAGTGTTTCCGCCAGACCTGCATTATGTCTGCAGTCTGGGTGCAGGTAGCGCCTGAACTACCATCGATCAGTGTCCTCAGCGGCTCCAATCTCGGTCCATACACCGCCTTCAAGGAGTCAAAGAATTCCTTGTGTTGACGGCGTTCGGCGTAGCATTCCATCTGCTTCGCCTTCTCCGTCCACCATGCATTTTTTATGCGACGGAGCTCTCGGGTCAGTCGCCGTCGAAGTTTGCGAAACTGACTACTCTTCCCCAAGTCACTGGGGTCTGCAACATGTGCAGCAAATGCTGCATTCTTCTCCGACACCAATGCGTCAATCGTCACATTGTTGTCATCAAACCAATCAGGCCGCTTACAGTTTGCGCGCCCGATCGTCTCCTCCGCAGCAGCTGTCACCTGGTCGCGAATGTGGTGCCACAGGTCGCCCACTGTGGCTATACAGTCCACATCACCACACAGGCGTGCAGCCATCGCCTTCTCCAGCTCAGCACGTCTCGCCACAGTGCCGAGGGAGAGAATGTTAAATTTACGCCGATTCACGGCGGGAGTGCAATACATCGATTTACGAAAATATATGTACAGTTTGGTCCGAACCAATTTGTGATCAGTGCCACACTCAGCTCCACGCAGTACACGTGTCATGCGCACTTCACGCATATCACGCTGACGTACGATGACATAGTCGAGCAGGTGAGCGTGACCACTCCGTGGGTGCGTCCAAGTTGCTATATCACTCGCACTCAGTGCAAACCGAGTGTTCGTGATCGTCAGGCCGTGAGTGGCACACAGTGAGAGCAGCCTGTCACCGTTCGCATTCGCTGAACCAATGCCATGCTCACCGATAACATCTGTCCACGCTGATGCATCACGCCCAACGCGCGCATTGAAATCACCCAGCAGAAATAGTCGGTCGCTCTTCGGCACAGACCGTATCACGGAGGATAGCTCAGTGTAGAACTGATCACGCGTGTCATCAGGATAACACATGGTCGGACCATACGTGCTTATGAATGTAGCAAACTTACCTCTTCCGAGTCGCAGGCGAACAGTCATCAGTCGCGCGCTGATGCCCGTTGGTTCACCCACCAGCTGGCCATTCAGGCGATCGGATATTGCAAATCCGACCCCATGTTCACGTGGTGCTGAGGCGGCGTTCCCCACCCAGTAGAATGTGTAGCCAGCACCTGCTTCATGTAACTTACCTTGCTCAGCGAGCCGAGTTTCACTGAGCGCCGCAATATCGATGTGGTAGCGCGCCAGCTCCATTGCGACCAGTGCAGTGCGTCGCTCCGGGCGCTCGCTCGAGTTCCGGTCCAGTAGTGTGCGCACGTTCCAGCACCCGATGTTGAGTGCTTTGCGCGCAGGCATACGATTGCATTGGTGGGCAATCGCACGCGAGGTGGTCGTTGTGCTTCGGAGGTTTGCTTGAGGGACTCCACCCGGAGCCTTTGGCTCAATAGCCTGACCCACAAGGCAGTGGGTACATACATGGTTGGCGGCATCCGGTTTCGGATTTGCCTGTCACTGTGGCAAGCCACAGGACGCCTGCGCCTACAGAGGGACCATGGATGGCTTGCGCTGCACCACCCACAGCTCCAACCACATACCCCATATCCAGTGTAAACCCGAAGGAATAAGACCGGGAGGCATGCGGATGGGAACCACGTTTCATCAACGGAGCCGGCCCACACTCCTTCACAGGCAAACACAAGCACGCTGTATTTGGGGAATCAACCGCACATAAGGCGGTGGCTGGACCGTAGTCCGCTCCACACTGAGTGCATGGAACCGCTCTTTGAGCCTAGCACGGCCACAAGAACCGTGCACCCCGTCCCCTCCAGCAACGACCAACTGTCTCCTGGAGCCAGTATGGACGATGTAGTGGGTAATAGACAGGGAGGCACCTTGTCAACATGCACATCAAGCGCAACCACACCGGGGATATCAAACAACAGCCATTCACTTTAAACGACAAGTTGAAATAAAATAAATCCAATAATGCATACAGATACGGTGGCATAACTCTTCGCTAATTTACCATATGAAGTAAGTGCGCTAACAACAAATCCGTGATAAGTAAGAAATGTCCACAAGTTACTTAAAAATGCTACAAAACGCAACAAAATTACCGAAGATAAGCGCAATTAGTGTAAGCAACGTGGCCACTTAATAGAACATTATTCAGGGAGGCAGAACAAACCAAATAAAGCGGAATGAAATTTATCCAGCTTAAAAAGACCTAGTTTGAGTGTAAGTTGGTTTAGCCCAACTGCAGTGAAGAAGCATCAAGAAGGCAACATCAGCCTCAGCATGGGGCACACATACATACATGGTTGGCGGCATCCGGTTTCGGATTTGCCAACTGTCTCCTGGAGCCAGTATGGACGAGGTAGTGGGTAATAGACAGGGAGGCACCTTGTCAACATGCACATCAAGCGCAGCCACACCGGGGATAGCACGCAACAGCCAATCACTTGAAACGACAAAATGAAATAACATAAATCCAATAATGCATACAGATACGGCAGCATAACTCTTCGCTAAGTTAGCATATGAAGTACGTTGGTCAGCAACAAATCCGTGATAAGTAAGAAATGTCCATAAGTTGGTTAAAAATGCTACAAACGCAACAAAATTACCGAAGATAAGCGCAATTAGTGTAAGCAACGTGGCCAGTTAATAGAACATTATTCAGGGAGGCAGAACAAACCAAATATATAGCGGAATGAAAATTATCCAGCTTAAAAAGACCTAGTTTAAGTGTTGCATTCTTGATGCTTCTTCACCGCAGTTGGGCTAAACCAACTTACACATACATGGTTGGCGGCATCCGGTTTCGGATTTGCCTGTCACTGTGGCAAGCCACAGGACGCCTGCGCCTACAGAGGGACCATGGATGGCTTGCGCTGCACCACCCACAGCTCCAACCACATACCCCATATCCAGTGTAAACCCGAAGGAATAAGACCGGGAGGCATGCGGATGGGAACCACGTTTCATCAACGGAGCCGGCCCACACTCCTTCACAGGCAAACACAAGCACGCTATATTTGGGGAATCAACCGCACACAAGGCGGTGGCTGGACCGTAGTCCGCTCCACACTCAGTGCATGGAACCGTTCTTTGAGCCTAACACGGCCACAAGGACCGTGCACCCCGTCCCCTGCAGCAACGACCAACTGTCTCCTGGAGCCAGTATGAACGATGTAGTGGGTAATAGACAGGTAGGCACCTTGTCAACATACACATCAAGCGCAACCATACCAGGGATATCAAACAACAGCCATTCACTTTAAACGACAAGTTGAAATAAAATAAATCCAACAATCCATAGAGATACGGTGGCATAACTCTTTGCTAATTTACCATATGAAGTAAGTGCGCTAACAACAAATCCGTGATAAGTAAGAAATGACCACAAGTTACTTAAAAATGCTACAAAACGCAACAAAATTACCGAAGATAAGCGCAATTAGTGTAAT